CCTGCCATTAGTCGATAGCGGGGTCGATCAGTCACGTGACACCCGATGCGAGTGAGCTGCGAGGAGGAAAAGGCTGAGTGGCGGGTAGCTTCTTCAAAAAGCAGACATACTTAAAGTGTTCCTTTCCATACAAAAATAGAAAAAAGATGTGTGATCTTCATTCCCGTTCATTCTTTTCACTACCTTATCCATCGTCTTCTAAGTTTTCTAAAGAAGTGGAACAGAGTACCAACTCTAATCACAGGCACAGACACACATCTATACACAGTAGCAGCATTCTGCAGCGTTCAGAATGCGAAAAAAATGTGGCGGTGGTGAGGTTCCTACACCCGAATTCGGGAGTGGAGCGATAGGGCCAATACCACTTAACCGTTGTCTATACCCAACAGTGTCTCCACTGAGGTACAATGTGTGCAGCTAACATGAAAGTGCCTGTCGGTATGCAGTAATGGGTTCTCATAGGCGTATTATTATTTAGTCATCAGCATAAAACCAATAGGCTGCCAATACTTTACACCTTGAAAATTGATAAGGTCTAAAAGATGGCGGATGATTGTGGTGATCCCAACCTACGGGATAAAGCCAGCGACGGAACGACGCATTACACTTTATGGACAACTGCGGTGAATCAACCACCCAGGAGACACCAGCCAAGGGCTTACGCGTTACAGTTTCTGGACAACAAATTCAAAGTCAAAAAACAATTTATTCATCCGAATGGATGGATTCTCAGCTCCTTGTTCACCAGGATCATTTATCATCGCATACCACAAACGACTCGTGCCGACCAATCAGAAGTCGTGCGGTCCAGACCGAAGCTGCATGACGTCAAGAATACAAGCAGGCGATTGGTGGATACCTGGAAAACCAATAAATTTTCTTCGTACATGTTATTTAATCCCTTTGATTTTTTTTCCAATAAACGAACTGCTACTTCTGTGGCCTTCTTTTGCGTCTCGGGAACGGGAGATTCCAGTGTACAAGGGCTAGTGCGATTCAGCGTTCCAGTTGCAACCGTGATTTGTGATTCGTTATTCGTGATCTGCGCCTAATTCAGCTACTGCAGTGATGCAGAAGTTACGCTCAATTCCACAATACTGTGAATGTTGTGCACTTGTGAACTAGGTAATGACCGATTTGGAATAGGATGGTTAATAGCGTAACCGCAACCTGAGCAATTGATAGAATATTCTAAAACCCACAAAAAAGTGGAGCAGTGTTTTTATAATACACCTTAGTGTGATGAACTGCAGAGGGGGAAAGTCCCATAGTCACGAGAACCTGTTCTTCAGTGATGGAAACCGGTAACCTAAGCGCCGGGACTTGGAGTGGCGAACCGCATAAGGCCCGACTAGGTTAGACGTGGTACTGAACCGGAAGACAGCAAAGCTGTCTACCACCAAAGTTGGGTGGTGGTGGCGGGGCACGAACCTCGGACCATAGGGTCCAAAGCAACCCGGTAAGTGACTAAACCACTGCACCACCACCAGTTTTGATTAACTGAGGGAGTGGGTGGAGGTGGTGGTGGAGTTCAAGTTGTCCAGTAGGGAACATCTACTTATTGAGCACACGATGATATGCATTAGGGATTCCGAGGCTAGTTTTTAGGCTTTATCACGGTTATTTTGAATTCAGCCTGATTAGCCTCGAATTAAGCAGAGCTGAATGCTACCAGGTGCGTTCCCAGGTTGTGGATAGGAGGATACCTTCACAGAAGAAGGGTAGCGGTGAATAAGTTGTGGTACACTGCAACAAATAAGCAGTCGCGAACAAACAGCGGTGGCACTACCAGGGTGTGGTGGGTTTCAGGCTGGTCACCTGATCCCCGTTTAAAAGCCGCATAAGCCCAATGACGGTTTCGTGACAAAGGTCGATGTGACTGGCCTTTTAAAACTAGAGTCATTGACTCCCTCACTTCCGAGATGAGGAATTACATCCTGCTGCCTTGCAATTCGCACTTGGTTATGCAAAGGCTAAAGGTGCGCCCTCAAAATAAAAAACGCCGAGTGACGCTGAGGATGTCTCTCGTACTCAACTCTCACAGAACTTCATGATCAGGATCATATCTAGAGCCGGCTTATCCTTTCCAAGGAGCCAGCCGCAGTAAAGTAAGTTTGAATCCAGGATTTTCAGTCTCAGAATCTGGTACACGAACCGTGAGAGCCCATTATAACGCGCAACACAAAACGCAGGAAAACATTCGGTTTGCCAGATAAAGAGAAAACAAGTATCAGGAAAACTACAAACTGCATATTAGCAATAAGAGGACCATAAGTGAATGGGTTGGATAGAAAGCAAAAAACAGACGCGTGCGTGGAGAGCCGGTCCAAAATAACTTACACTTCACACCATACATGATCTGTCCAGTCCGAGACGAATCGACAGGCGGGAAACCATGGAGTGGGTTCGCATGTGGAAGACCCCCCGGTCAGTGGTCGACTACAGACGGAGAGTAAGAACGCCAAACAGTTGGCCCATTCACCACAACGGCCCAACCGAGTGCACAAAAGTGTTTTAACATCATTGTACCTCGGAAATCGGTAGACTGGATGCGTGGGATTTGCCGGACACTGATATGTCTCGACAGAACCAGGACGGCCGGGAATCTCCTCCGGTGTCGGAGCTGCTTTTCCGATGAATTGCATTTTTGTCTAAATAAAAACCAATGTGTGTGTGTGTGTGAAAGGGGAAGAAAAATCAAGGACAGTTCAGTGACACTGTTCATATCACAGTTACGAACGGAATTGTTACTCCACAATGAAGATGGCAACTAATACAGCTGCGTACACTGTCACAGTAATCATGGAGTTTTAAGAATTCCTGAAAACAATGTCTTTACGCATGGAATTTTGTTTCACATACTATTCGATTGAGTCAGTAATTTGTAGGCTGGTGTTGGAAGTGGACAAGAAAGGACAGTGTTTTCTTCTGATTGACTTTAACCTTTTTCCACACTGTTTGTTTCGGCGAGCATCGCACACCGAAGAGGTTTGCTGTGCAGAAAGCGTGATACAGGCCTGATCCACGGAAGCTGTGGCGCTCAAGCTCTGGCTTCAATACATGACCATAATAAACATCATTCAGCATCAGCATTGCTGATTCATTTGTCCCACCAGACCCAAGCGATACGGCGCAGACAACTGTGCCCCATTAAGACAGCGCCAAGCGAAAAAAACTGGACAGACAGCGGCAACATACACCGGATCAATAATGTATAGGTAAATGTTGCTGCAGCACCAAAGGTGTCTCGGACTGGCAAACGTCAACCGAGTTCTCTGTACGCGTTCGGACACTCAATAGAGGAAATTTATCATCTGAAGTAGCCCAATTTGTTTACCTCCTATTCTGACTCTTCTATAACAATATTTCACATTTTGAAGGGGCAAAACATATTAATAAATTTACACTGAAACTATCTCAATAAACTTGCAACTTAACTGGATCTTCAGTGAACAATATACAATATCCCTTGTGATTACGACAGGACTGAACCGGTTACGAACACCACTAAGCTTGCTACACCACAAAACCCTTCACGACAGCATTCTTGATGTGCGCATGCTTGTGTACGACTCACTTTGCATTGGGAGCATTCGAAAGAGTCGGCCCAATGGAAGAATTCTTCTTTGAACCAACGAACCAGTTCGCGCAAAAATGCACGCGGAGTGACGACATCCGGAGTGCAACCGGATTTCATTGCGGCAGCTTCCATCAGCTCTTGTGTGGGTATAATGGAGAGAGCCTGTTTCTGTATTGTGAAAATCGGGGTGGGGGGGCGACCAACAACTATTAACGCATTTCCTGATACAGCGAAGCAAAAATAGACCAGAAATGCGAAACAAACTGCTCATGGCACACTTATTCGTCAAAAACGACCACATTAACATTCCACCCCACCTCATCCAGGCGTACATGTATTAAGAAACGTTTGCATTGACCCCAAGAAACTTCACATTCAAGTGATACTGTTGGTAACAGACGAAACTAGGAGACGAAACTACCAGCAATCATCAGCGTTTAATGCCCTACCGCAATCACACAAAGTACAGTAGACAGGCTCATTCAATGACCGAGAACGCCTCGAAACACTGCAATCAGACACAAGCGGACTAAGTCGAATGTTTGGAACTGTGTGAGGTGAAATGGATTGAAAATTATTCACAAAATGTACCAGTTGTGAATCTCAGAGGCGATCGTCTGACGGTCATCATCATCATTATCGTACAGCGAAATTCAGTGAAGTGGACTTCACTGATCATTGATTGCCAGAATGGCAATAAGTAAAAAGTTAGTGAGAATACTTCAGTTCCGTTTGAACAGCCATTAACCATGCAGTTTCGAGTGCCGATTTTGGTTGCTTTCTTTAGAATGCCCATTTGGAGAAAGACGAGAAAGTTCAAAGTGGAGTCGAATAGAAAATGGAGACTTTTGGTGAACTACTGTTGCAAAGAAATTGAGATGCACGAACGCC